GACTCACCGTTAACCACCCAGTCCTTAATCAGCACAGCGTCTCCCCCTACTGTCCACTGAGATTACTACGCATCACCATTACACATAATAACAGAAAACACACTGGGATACATCAATCAAATACATGGGAAAAAACAAATTATTCTTGTGACTACACATACAGGGTGTCACACTCTCCCCGACAATAGAAATGGCTCCAAACAACACTGACCCTTTAACTCTTATAACCAGTTTTCACAATAACACAAACATTCTCCTCACATTGCAACCAATTTCAAGATTTCTGTGTCAAGGTGTAATCTATAAGTGTGTTGTTCACATTCCTGTCCGTGTATGTGTCTTTATTCTATTTTCTTGTAGGTACTAATTATCTAGTGTCCACAAAAGGCAGTGTAAGATGATAGAGTAGGATAGGAACCTATCTGGTAAGGAAATGTACGAGGGACATAAGCACAAGTCACATATACTGGTCCCTGTACCCCATTAGAGTAATATGGTAACTGCTGTGTCGGCATAAATTGGGCAGCCCCTATCTCAGTAGGCAGTTCATAATTGGGCTGACCCAATGAGGGGTGAGTAAAGACCTGTGTGGGTTTTCTGTCTCTGCTGGATATTCTCACATATCCATCTTCTGCAGCTTTTTCCATTGAACTAACCATTTGTCTTTCTCCCTCCACAGGTACCATCTCTCCCTGCTCACCTTCCATCACCTCAGGTTCCAGTGCAGCAGGTAAGTCCGTCAATGAGTGAGTTGCCACTGGCTCAGGTAAGTATTCTTCCTCTACTCCTAGAGCAATCTTTTCATTCCTTGCAGGTCTATCCTCACCTTTTCTCCGTCTCCAATCTCCTCTTTCGTAAGTGTCCGGTATAGTCCTTCTCTGCTCATATCTCTGCTTTTCAGAGGGGCGCAACCAGTAGTATGCTCTCGGAGCATCACTCTCATCCGAACATGAATCACTTACATTTGCTTCTTCTTCTTGCTGATTTTAACAATCTTTGTTTCCTTCCCTTAGATCTACATGGGTCGTCAGCTCCCGGAGGTGCGGATATATAGGTAGGTCGTTAACCAGATGAAGCAGGTTTCGATGCAAAGTACGTATCGTCGCCAGATTTTGACCTCCACTGGACTCAGGGTACACTTGATAGACTGGTCCATCTCCTACTCTTTCATTGACCACGTGCACTCTCCCAGTATGACCTTAACTTTCCAGGCCCACCTCGTTTACTCAGATTCCGAACCAGAACTTGATCTCCTGGTTGCAGCACAACACCCCGAAGGTGCTGGTCATAGTATTTCTTGTTTCGCGCGCTCGCTTGTTTACTGTTATCCGAGGCTAGTTTATAAGCATCAGCCATTCGTTGGGCCCACTTCTCTGCATACTCTCAAGGTGAGTACTGGTCATCCTCTGATCTTAGACCCAACAACAAGTCGATGGGCAAGCGAGGGTGACATCCATACAGGAGAAAGAATGGAGAGAACCCTGTCGCCTCATGCTTAGTGCAATTGTAAGCGTGCACTACCTTTGGGAGGTGGTCTTTCCAACTGTCCTTTTCTTTCTCCTCCAGCGTCCTCAACATTTGTAGCAGGGTGCGATTGAAGCGTTCTGCTGGATTTGCTTGGGGGTGATAAGGTGTTGTTCTTGAATTGCTGACACCCGTCATTCGCTGCAAAGTCGCGAAGACTTGGTTCTCGAATTCACGGCCTTGGTCGTGATGGAGCCGGCAAGGGTAACCAAATCTTGGGATATAATAATTAAATATCCTCTCAGCTGCCGTTCTTCCAGACTTGTCTCTTGTCGGGTACGCCTGGGCGAACCTGGTAAAATGGTCCACCAGCACCAGAATATATTCGTATCTGCTCGACTCCGCTCCAGGTGCAGATAGTCGATGGACACGAGGTCCAGTGGGCAACTTGAGGTAAGACTTCCCATCGGAGCTCTGATCTTCACCACTGGTTTCTTCTGCTTCACGCATCGGCACACTGGGGTGACATAGTGCTCGATCTCCTTCTTCATAAAAGGCC